CGGGAGCGCACTGAACATGCCCCCTGAGCTCAACATGTTCGCTCTGAAGCACGCTGAACATGTTTCTCAGGAGCCCGCCAAACATGTTCGCTCGGGAGCGCACTGAACATATCCCCTGAGCTCAACATGTTTCTCGGGAGCGCACCGAACATGTTCCTCGGCAGCGCGCACATGTTCGCTCGGGAGCGGACTGAACACAATGCACGTTGAACATGTGAACATGTTTCTCGAGAGCACGCCAAACATGTTCGCCCGAGAGCGAGCTGAGGATGCTCGAGCAGGTTCTGCGTGTCAAGCTAGTAACATGCTCTCCTAGAAGGAGGGAATCCAAGAACATGTTTGCACGCCCGACTCAATTCGATGTTAGTGCTAGGTTGAATGCCTACCCTTCCACGACGTGGTCGGTCACACGGATACGACTATTGGGCTTAAGCGCAGTCATCACGATCACGTGAAACCGCGTACAAAGCCGCGCGCACTCGCGTTCGTCTTTTGCTCTAGACCATGACAATGGATGGCCGCACCGCTCATACGCTACTCCCCCGATACCCTCTACATCCACCTGGCAGCCCCTTTTACAGCACCCTCGTGACCGCTCTTGCTCGGTCTCGCCACTATTTCGACTTTATCGCTTCTGAAATGCGTTGTCAACCTTCCCGGCTGATCCTTTCACGCTCTCTTCGTCCTTCTCGCTCCCTCCTTATACGTATGACCTGACTTGTGAGCTGACATGTGTTGTACAATTGCTCCCGAATTAGTAGGCATCAAATGCTTGGGTTATCATGTATTCTAAGTTAGCTACCCTTCCCACTCAACCACTAAATCTATCGAGTTTTAGTTTCTGCTACGCCCGTGTGCGTGTACTCCAAATTCCCACTCAAGTCGCTAGACTGAGTTCTCTTGAAACTGAGGCTTGCCATTGTGATATAGTAAGAGATAATCAGGCCGGCGAACACTACATATTCTAGGTGCCTGCGTTGAATCGGTATGTTTTCAAGAAGCTTCGGGTCATTCAGAGTACATTTTTCAGAGGTACCAATCCCTACGAGTAACTACCTAGAAGCGACGAACCCATAGATGACCATATGCGGAGCCGCTGACTCATGTCTCGGAGTTTAATCGGAGATGACCGATTTTAAAACCCGACATTGTGATTGAAGTCCGGTTATCAAACCGCCGACCTTTACGGCTGGCTTGCTGGATAGTACGCAGCTTGCAGAACGCGTGGCAGCCACCTGTTCATTGACACGGATCAATTTTCTCCGCGATGCCGGTGACATCAAGACTTTAGGGAAGCGGTCTGACGGCGTCTGAGGGACTCTGAAGCGGTCTGACGGCCCTGAAACGTCTGAAGGCTCGCTTAAAGCTCTGGGCCCACATGGCCCTCAGAGCCTTCAGACTGCTTCAGACGCCCACAGGGCGCTTCAGACCGCTTCCCAAATTGCTGATGGAGATTGGGTCGCTTCTGCGTCTTGACCATAGACCACCATCTTGTCAACTGGCGTCTCATCCTCATACTTTCTGCTCTATACTCCCCTCTCGCTGCACTATAAGACCTGTCGTATGGACTTAGACCTATCTACCCTGCCTTTCTCGCAAAGGCAATCTGTACGCGATCTCAAGCGCAATCATGATGCATTACTCCGTGAAGTCTCGGCGCTGGTAGCGTTCAATGCGGCTCTTTTGAACGACTTACGGGTGGAACGCCAAGAGGCCCTTGAAATACTCCGTTACCAAGACACATCATCTACAGATAATAGAGTTGCACTCTCGAAGGGGCGACAGACCCTGCATGCCACCGAGACATTCAGTCAGTCGCTGCATGAGGTTCAACGCGAAGTCATGGCTCTGGAAAGCTCTATCGCAGCCCTTCAAATGAAAGTGGCTAAGACTCACCTGACGCGAGAGTCTTTGGAAGACGCAAAGCGAGAATCCAGGCTGGAGATACTGACGGCTCTAGAAGCACAGGTTGGTTTTCCCCCTGCGCATCTTTCGGTGAACACATTTTCTCAGGAAACCTCAATGACCATGCTAGGCACAGGATGAGAATACCGTACAGAGTCATTCATCTACAAACCGCGACAATGAACCTCTCAATCTCAATATACTGGACGATGATCCGCGCGCGCATCCCCTGGAGACTCCGGTCGAACGCAGCCGTCCAGATGATCCTTCAACGGTAAGTATGCGCATTTGGCCGCCTAGAGCCACTTCTAAGTGTCCCATAGTTCCAACATGTCTCTCACATCGACGATACCGTCGCGGACGCGGTCGGTCGCGCCGACACGCCCAAGCGGTCTTCGCGCCCGGAGGTGGTGGAACCCCTGTTCGGGACTGTACGGGGAGCTCCTTTTCAAACGACGAGCATACTTTCTGCATTGAATCCAGAGATAACGGAGCAGTTTACCAACATTGTTGTGATGCCCGATTATCGTGAGTATTCGCAAGAAGTACGCTGCATAACTCTATACGTCCACCTCATATGTTGATGCCGAAGTTCGCAGGAGTTGAGATGGAACGATTACCGCATAGACGGGAGATTCTCGCGCCAAGACGCTCAATCTGAGTACGTTGAGCGATGACCTAGATCGGTATGACGTCGCTTAAAGGTGGCTTGTAGACTTTGGGCACGGCTCACTGAGAGCCAGCCATTAATTAGTACTCTTAGGAAATACGAACCTGAACAGACAAGCGGGGAGATCACACTGGCAGCGAGATATCGCAGAGTTGAAGCACCTCACATTCGAGGACAGTATACGGGCAGACGAAGGGGAGGGAGGCCAGGTCGGTTCTCCAGAGGGCCTTGAACGGGCCTGTCGACAGAACTACATGTCCAGAGAGACGCGTGTCAACAGGGTGACCGCCCTCTGTGATCTACTGTCTCATTGTCGTCCACCGTGACCTATTCCTCGCCATAACTCACTTCTGCGTCAGTATACCATGTCGTGTCTGTATAGCCACGCGCATTGTCTCGCGAGTCTCGACCTTATCTCGCATAGACCGTATACTCGCTGGGAAATGCCCCTATTCCGCTAGTCTGCTCACGGCGGCAGCACATTCATCAAGCTTTGGAACACTCAATACAGAAGGTCTTGCCGTACGCTTCTTGTACTTTGACTTGAGTACCATAGGCGCCGGATGATTCATGCCGCGCGTGAAAGCCACGCACTGGGTCCGGGGATCACCGTTTCTCGGACCCGCGCCTGCAGTTCGAATCTGCCAGCGTCACCGGCGCCTAGGGTTGCCCCAGACCCTCATCACCATCTTGTCTTCACACTACCATCATCCTCTCGCTCACCCATCCCTTCCTCTCTTGCCTGGCATAGATTCCCTCCATGGATCTGGATTTGTCTGCTTTGACGCTGCCACAAAGGCAGTCTATACGAGATTTGAAGCGCGACCACGATGCCTTACTTCATGAAGTATCCAAGCTATTGGCCTCAAATGCGGCTTTGGTGAAGGACCTTCGCGTCGAGCGCGAGGAGACGCTCGACTTACTTCGCCAGCGATGGACCGAACGAAACGATGCACAGCGCGAAGATCCTGGCGTTGCCTTCCCCATCAGCGATCAGACCATTCAGTCAGCTACAGACTATGATGGAAGGTTACACGACGTACAAAGGGATATCATCTCGCTTGGGACCTCCATAAAAGAGCTTCAGAACAAGGTCTCTACTCTGCGCACAACCCAAGAATCTCTGGAAGATGAAGCGATTGCTTCTGGACTGGAGACTTTGGCTATCCTGGAACAGGCGAGTGAAACGTTCTACAGTATTGACATGATTGGGAGTCTCATGTTTTTATCGCAGGGCGCGCAAGCTACAGTATCAGATGATGTAAAGCAGGCTACACCGGATGTTGCAGGCGAACCCGATTGTCTCCAAAGGGACACCTTGGATGTCGATTCCGAACAAGCGCGCACGACTCCTTTTATCAATATACCTCATCAACGAAAACGTTCGGATAGCCTTGACAGCGATGTCACGGTAACGGTACGTCTATGCTTGATTGCGAAAGCTCACAGTAATGCTTCACTGACGTACTACCTATGGCAGCCTACCCGCATGAGTAAGATGAACGTGCAGATAGGTAGTAAGACCACATTCGTGCCAGTCGTTCCCTTCTGGGAGAGCTCAGATCCTTCCAAAATCGGGAACACAGTGAAGTTTGGATCATCCGTTGCGAACTTTGAGTCCCTGCAATTCATCCGTGACTGGGCGGAACTTCAAAGCAAGCTGCACAGCACGGCACTGAAATTGACGCTCGACGGGCCATACCGCGTTACAAAGTTGCCTGACAGCCTAGTACCAACGCCACCGCTGGAACTGTCGTATACTCACATATCCACGATGCCTGAATACCAAAACTGGTCGCCAGAGGTACGTTGCCGTCTATGAAGTCGAGTTATGTTGGCATACATACTAAAGCCACTAGGAACTACGTTGGAGTGACTACCAAGCCGGGGGTAGGCTTGCTGGAGAACTTAAAAGGGTCTAGTAAGCATGTCATCCTTAACTGCCAGCCCTGTTCTCATACGCTCGCTCAGCAGGCCGTCAATATAACAAGTCAGCTCAGCGCGAACGTGAGGCAAACTTCGCGAATGGAAGGGCACAAATAGGGATACAGCGTACCATGGTGTAATTACATGCGTGTGCAGCCTGGCAAATACAAATCGTACGGTAGTCAGTATGAGTGGAACATTGTGCGATACAACGAGGGTGGTATACGGTCAATATAATAAGCAAAGCGAAGGGTCGTGTCAGCGTCGCGAGCAGTCATTTATGGGAGGGCGACCTCGGCATCTTTCCCATGTAACGGGATGTTTTTGGGGTGTTGAGCAGCAGCAGTCTGGGTATGCAACGGGAAGTACTTCATCAGCCCGCTCACGAGCAGTCCGGCGGCTCCAATGACGGTAAGACTGATCCAGACGATGCGCAGCGCGTCCGCGTATGCGATGCGAGTCACGCCTCTGAGATCGTTAGATAGAGATGGGAGAACCTCGATGACGGCGAGCGCGATCTCCTCCGATCCCCCGACTTCGGCCAGAAGCGTGGCAGGCAATTTCTGCTTCAGCTCGTTCTGTAAGATAGCACCGCCGAGTGTGACTCCCCACACCTATAGACATGTTAGAAGGAGACGTCGCCGTTGTACTTCAGAGACGCACGAATGCAAAGTTCCGCAGAAAGGTGAAGAACACAAGAGCGGACGGCGCCATGCTGGCAGGAATTGGAGCCAGGACAGGAAACTGGTGGCAACGTATATGGCTCCGATGCCAGCACCGGCGATGATCTCGAAGCCGATCGCGCGGGAGACTGGGGCGTCGGCCTTGAGCGTCGTGTATAGAGATAATCCGACGATGGCCAGAACCCATGCGATCCAGATTGGCGGGCGAAAGCGACCAGTCTTCATCACAACAC